AATGTGCCTATATTTTCGGTATATAAAGCATGCAAACTAGTAAAGCTATAGTTTTGAAAGTGGAGTACAAAGGAAAGGGTGTAAAAAGAATTGAATTTAAGATTGAAGATATAACTTTACAGAGGCTGCCTTAATAACTACTAGTGATATAATATGGCACTTTCCCAGGAAACAATATAAGAAAGGATATGTACATTTTTCTATAAATTTATTGTGTGCGTGCGGAGAAAATATTAAATGGCCAGGTCACGAGACAATTGGCCAGGGCCATTCACGTGCTGGCACATAAGCAAAAAGGGATATAAAGCTAACACATTTGTTTATGTGTGACATGATTGGCCTGGGATCATGCAGAAGTCAATTTTCTCTGGTTTCAATCAACAGTTACCAGACTCACAGTTAAGGTTTTATGAATAAAGATTGACTTCTGCTTTGTTCGGTATGAAGGAAAGAAAAAGGGTGGAAGGAAAATAGGAAAAAAAATAAACCAACTTCCTCTATTCGGTAGAAATGATATAAGGAAAGAAAGGATAATAGGATGAATGGGTCATCCTTACTTTTTCACAAATTTTCATTTATCCAAATATGGGTAGAAGAGAGGAGAGAAAACAAGTGGGCCTATTATAGAAGTTTTAAGTTACTGTATCATCTTTCATAAATATTTAATAAATCTCACAAATAAAGTAAGTGATTGGTTTAATGGTAAAAAAACAACTTAAAAATCTCTTTTTCCTTTTATCTTACCGCTCAAAGTAAATTGGCAACTTCTTCTCTTCTCTTCCATCCAACTGAATAAAAAAAGGGAAGAACATAATCTCTTCTCCAGGGATGTCTGTAACGCCCCATATCCCATGATCCGGTGCTAGGGTTGCAAATGAACTGAGCTGTTCATGAACAGCTCGGGCTCGGCTCAGACTCTTTCATTAAGTAAACAAGCCGAGCCCGAGTACAATTTTTAGGCTTATTTATTAAACGAGTTAATCTTGAGCAATGTTGGGCTTGGCTCGTATAGGCTCTTCAACAAGCTCGTGAATAAAGGGCACATTATTATCATTTTTCATTTAAATGGTTTAGCTCATATAAATTTAAATCTGGCCCAAATTATATCATTTCATTAACATCCCAAAAGGAGAAATCTTGGCCTATCATCAAAAATAAGATTTCATCTTAGCCTATAATTTTTAATCCATCTGAACCGTTGGCTTGCTAAGGTTAAAGAGAGATAGAAAACCCTATTTTGCGTATAGCGGCATGGCTGCTATAGATAACTAAAACATTATTTTCATGTATAGGGCCATGACATCTTTAGCTCCACCATTTAATCTACCGGTAGCCTTTTAGAATCGGTAAAGCATTCTCTCTCTAACGGATCCTTTCACACATGACACAACTTTCTCTTTTTAATGGATCTGAAGGTCAAGCAATGCAACATATATGTAAATGGACTACATAAACTGGGTAAGTTTAAGTTCATTTTGAAACTTTATTCTCTATTTCTTTTTCTGGGAGATGGAGATTAGATTTCCTCAAACGAATCATGTTATTTTCTTAGTTTTGTGATCAGTGGTGATGTAATCGAGCCTGAGCTTATAGAAATATTACCAAGACCGAGACCGAGACCGAGCCTGAGCTTGGCCAGGATAAGCTCCCCTGAGCCCGAGCAACCCTATGAAAATGAAGAACTGAGCCCGAACAACCCTAGGCTCGGCTTAGCTCAGCTCGGTTCATTTGCAGCCCTATCTAATGCATTAACCAAGTAGATCCAAACCTGACCCAAGAACTAGGGCAAAAAATGCGGAAGCTAAGGTCAAAATAGTCATAATGCAGAAGCTAAGGGTAAAATGGTCATTCCATTACAAATATGGAGGATGGGGTGTGCACCATTGGAAAGCTAGCTCAAAACCCTTCAATTTAAGCTCAAAAATGACCAGATTCGGGTATAAAATGAAAGATATATGACCATTTGAAGAAAGAGAATCAAATATATGCACGATGTGAAGAAAGCTTAAGCACTGAGAAAAATGCTCGAGCTCTGAGAAAATGCTCGAGCATTGGGAAAAATGCTCGAGCTTTAAGAAAAAAGTGTTCAAGCATAAATGGGGATGCGGTTATGGATTTCTCAAAAAAATGGGAGCTCGGGCTCACAAAGCCAATGCTTGAGCTCTAAAAAAAAAAAAAAAAAAAATGCTTGAGCATTGAAAAAAATGCTTAAAACCCCAAAAAATGCAACAGCCCAAAAAGAAGTGTGCCAAAGGTCATTGTCTAATATCCTAAATTTTTGGATTAGGGTTTAATTGTGATTAATTTATTTTATTTCCTCCATTACTGTAGATTTGGGTCTTAGTGAGAGTTATTAGAGTTGAGGGTGATTAATATGATTATAGATGGACTTTGGTGCAACCTTGTTTTTAGGTTCAGAGGCCAATGTGATTTTTGGAGATTTGTTTTGGTGGATATTACTTATATTTTAAGTATAGATACTTGGGTGCACATAGTAGATGGTGAAAAGGTTAGAGTAAGTAGTAAAAATAATGATTCGCCTTAGTTGGGATGCTTTTCATCTACTAAGGTTGTATGGGAATAGAAAAAAAAAAAAAAAAAAAAAAAAAAAAAAAAAAATAGCAGGTAATAGGATAGTCTCAGCCAAAACAGAAGGAAAGGAGAAGGAAATTAGAGAAAAAGAGACTGATGGAACTAGGGTTGTTCAGCCAACAGAGAAAAAAAGGGGATTTCCCTGGCCATGAGACAAAAGGAGGAGGGTGGCCAAACCTACACTTTCGCATCTCCGCCTTGGTCTTCTTTATGCTCACCATCCATGCACATCTTCATTTATTTATATTTTCTCCATGGGAGGTAGGGTTCCTCTAATTTATGTTGCTATGTGTTATTTTATTTCATACTCTCCATGCTTTACTCTTGCAAGACCTCTACTGGATTTTCCATAAATTGGAATTGGTTCTCTTGTTGTCATGTGCTGAGATTTGGATTCCTTGTTGAAAGTCATGGGTTGTTCTTTGTTTCAATTATCACATTCAAACATAGAAATCCATATGATTAAATTATGTGAAGCATGTCCCTCTTATGTATGAAATCCTATAGCAACACATATTAGATTTTCCTATGGGACTTCTGTAAGATATATATATTGGGAAGATTGTAAAAAATATATATTCTATAATTGGCAACTTTCGGTGTCAAAACAAGTCCTTGTCGAGTTGTAATTCAAGTTACCATATCCAGATTGACAGCAACTGCGGAATTGGAAGATTGTTCAAAGTTACCATGATTGAGATCATTTGAGACAGCTAAGAATAATACTTTAGGAAGGAATCTAAAAAGGTTAGGCCACATTCCATATATGGTAAGTTTCATAATATACCAAAAACAGTGCCTAGAACCTTAGGAACCAAGTCTGGCAGATTTGAACCTGTTCATGATTCTTGGAATAGGTTCAAGCCATTTGAATTTGGCCTAGAAAACATTCTGTCATTTTTGAACCTGTTGCTAATTCTTTGAATAGGTTCAAGTCTTCAACATTGGCCTCGAAATACATTCTGCCATCTTTGAACCTATTCCAAATTCTTTGAACAGGTTCAAGAATCCTAATAACCTATGGAAAGTTTAGTTTCCTGTTCCTGATTTCTTTCTTAGTTGGTTTAAAAGTGTTTCAAGTCCTATGCACGAATTTTATCATATTTTCAAATGGACTAGAACATTCTAAACTCTATATAAACTGTATCATACACATAGGTTTAGGTGTGGCTTTTGCATAAAAAAATACAGATCTTTTTTAGAGCCTTTTTTAGAGAAATTTTTTATTCCTTTAGAAAATCAATCTGATTTTTCTGATTTTATTTTTGAGAGCACACATATAAACACAAGAGTGATTTAGGAGTGTTGTTCTCTATCTCATCGGAATTGAAGCATAATTGAAGATTTAGAAATTCCAGAAAAGCAGAATTCATTCATTCTTCGTCAAATTCAGATCTAGAAGAAAAAGGGTGAAACAATCACACTTTGAAGGGGTCAGAGCATTCATGGAGTGTTATCTGATCTACCTGCAACTCTTCTACAGAGATTGAGAGTAAGCCTGAGGTCAAGAGTTGTTGGACGGGGGAGTCGCAAAGCCAGGGATTGTCAGGAATTTATTTTTGGTAGAACGATAGGGTGTGAGACTGAGTCAAAGTTCGGTATACTTTACTTCAAACATAGTGGATCGTTTATCTCAGGACTGCGAAGTTCAACGAGGTTTTCCCTGTTACAATAGGTCTATTCTACCAATTAGGGTTTCCTCGATAAAATCCTGGTGTCATCTCTCAAACTCTATTTACTTTACTTGCACTTTATTTTTGCTTTGTGGTTTGATTTTAGTTTTATTTCGATAAAATTAAACTAAGTAAAAATTGGATAAAAGAGTAAGTTGAATCTGTTTACCATCTCTCTAGATTATCTATCCATATATTACATTCCACAACCATTCCGCTGCGCACACTCAGTAAGTGGTATCAGAGCCATCCTCTATACATTGAGTTGTTCCTTGTGGAATTTTTTTTTAATAAAAAAAATCTCTGTTTTTGTTTTCAAAATTTGATATGGATAGTGTTCTTAAGGAAGGTGGATCTATTCAACATACTCCTTTGTTTAATGGTGATAACTATGCTTTTTGGAAACCTAACATGACAGCTTTTCTTATAACTCAAGGAAAATATGTTTGGGCTGCAATTGAAAAAGGTTATAAAAAACCTACAGTCACAAAGGATGGTGTTATCATTGAAAAGGAAGAGTCTGAGTGGACTCAAGCTGAGAATAATGCTTAAGAAGGAAACACCAAAGCTTTGTTTTCTTGATTCAAATCTGTTGTCCAATCTGAGTTAGCTTGTATTACTCATTGTAAAATTGCAAAGGAGGCATGGGATATACTTCAACTTATCCATGAGGCTACAAATGAAGTCAAATCTTCAAAGATTGAGATGCTTGTGTTTCAATTTGAAAATCTTAAGATGGAAAAAGATGAAACCTTTTCTAAGTTTTGCATGAAACTCAACCATATTGTGTCTGGCCTTAGAAACCTAGGAAAGAAAGTGACAGATAAGAAGATTAACAAGAAAATTCTTAGGTCTTTACCTAAAAGGTTCAGAATTAAAGTTGAAACACTGCAAGCAACTCAAAACATCACTACCATGCAAGTTGATGATGTTGTAGGTCATATTAAGAACTATGAGATGAAGTACTATGGAAATTCCCTAAAACCTAAAAACTTAGCCCTAAAAGCTTTAAAGTCTGATTTTTCCAAGTCTGAGGTTAGGTATGATAGTGAGTCTGATGAAGAAATTGCTCTCATAACTAGGAAGTTTAGAAATTTGATCAAGTCTGAAAAGATGAATGCATTTAAGAAAGGGGGAGAGTCAAGGTTTAGGAATAGAGAGTTTTCATCTAGGGGAAGTGAAAGACAAGATAAAAGGAGAGAAGAGGAGTCTAAAGGAACTGAGATTAAATGTTGAACATGTGGTGGTATAGGTCATACATCAACAGTTTGTCCAAGTCCAAAAAATAGCTTTGTTGCTAAGAAAGAGTCCAAAGATAAAAAGAAGGATAAAGCAACGAATGTTTCAGTTTCTAAAGATAAAAATGCTTCTTTTTTTGATGATTCTTCTAATGATGATGATAATCCTCTTGCTTTTATTACTTTTGTGAATAATGATGTTTCTAAAAGATTATCTTTGTCTGACACAGATGACTCGGATTTTGAGGACATAGCAAAATCTAATGATGAAGATTGTTACAAGGAAGCAACAAAGAAGAATTATGATAAAGCCTTCAATGAATTATATGTTACATATGTTCAAACGAAGAAAGGCTTCAATAAACAAGCTAGAGAATTGAAAGAAGTTGAGAAGCAAAGAGATGCTCTGAAGAAGGAAAGTGAACAGAAAAAGAAGGAGATTGAAGATCTTCATGGAAAGATAAGATTCCTAGAAGGTGAGGTAAGTCAAGTTAATTCTGCAAATGAATCTCTTGATTCTAAATTAGAATTTTTTGAAGTTAAATTGAAAAAGTCGCAAGAGAAATTGAATGGATTTACTTCTGGGTAGATTAAACTTGAGGAGATGATTAATATTGGTAAGAATGTGAATGACAAAACTGGCTTAGGTTTTAATAAGGCTTCATGTAGTAAAGAGGGTAAAACTATTTTTATGAAACCCACTAACTTGAATGTGCCTAAAAATAAATCTGAGGTTGTTGATTCATCACATGCTAATATGTCTTATGTGCCTACTATTTTGCATTGCACTTATTGTGGTAGGAATGGACATAACCAATATTATTGCTTTAGGAAGAGAAGAGAATCTTTTTCTGAATTTCATGCTTTTGATTCTTGTGCTAAGAATAGGGTTCATGTTAAAAAGCAAATTTTTTTTTAATCAACCTAAAAATTCTCATGCTAAGAATTACTCAAATAAGAAAAAGGTTGAAATTGATAAGTCTTTTCAAAAGTTGAATGTAAAGACTGTGTGGATAAAAAAAGAAGACTTGGTTAATTATGTGCCTGTTGATGCTATGGGACTTGTTCCTATTAGGTCTATGGGTGCAAACCCCCCTAACTAAGTCCTAAAGAGTTTTTATGGTCATGGACTATGCTTTTATGAATATCTTGTTTTCATTGGACCATATCTTGTAGTTTAGGATTTATATTGTTTTTCTTTCATGAGAAAGTGATGATCATGTTTTTATTGTCAATGCATGAGTGATACTTATTTCTCTTGAATTAATTATTTTTGAATGCAAATTGGGGACACATGATTATTTGTTGAAAAGGTTCTTGATGTGTAATCGATATGTTGAAAGACAATTTGCTTTGTTTATTTCTTTTTAGAGATGAGTCTCTTGAGTTCATATTTTTCTTGTGCACTAGTCCAACTTTGAGAATTTTAATTGGAAATCATTGTGAAGTTGACTAGGTCATATTGCTCATAAAAGCTATAAAGGTTATTGTTTAAAAAAAAATTATAGAGCATGTGTTTGAGGAAAGCAAATAAAAAATTTCAGCATAAAAAGAAAAGAAAAATCAAAAGAACGCTGAAAATTTTTGCTAAGGAAAAGGCTACCTATTGAGACTAGTTCGAAAGCTCCTACTAGACTTTGAAGAGGAGCTAATTGAGTAAAAAGAAAGGAGGAGACAAGTCGAAATAGGGAATTATTCTCTACTCTTTAGAGTGAAAGCCGCCTAGCTTAGAAAAGCTTGCTCAAAACAATCTTATCTTGATGCTTTTTGATCAATATGATTTAGACAGTTGGTCAATGTGATTTGATTGAAATTTGATAAGATTGGATTGCACACACACACATGTGAACTTGCTAGACAAATTTCTAAATTTTTATAAAAATTGCAAGTTGAATTTCATGTTGTGATTGCATGCTTGAGAATTGATTTGATTGAATAATTTGTGGGGTCTAAAAATTGTGTTTTAAAATTCTCTTGAATTCTTCAAAAAAATTTGGATCTCATATATGCTTGAAATTCATGGAAATTGCTATCTCATATTTTTTGTTAAAATATCATAAACATGAAAAAATTGAAAAATTAAAAAAAAATCCAAAAAGATTTTCCTTTTAGTTTTTTTTCTTGTTAATTCTTCCACATTATTTATTTTCCTTCTTTGTTGAGCTTTATTTGTTAATTTGTAACAAAAAGGGGGAGAATCTGCATAATTGAGGGGGAGAGTTTCTAGAATTGAGAGGAAGATACATATACATTGATATTCACATATTGATATATATTGATTGTTTATCTTTCTTGATTAAGCTTCACGGGTAGTTTTGTTAAGCTAATGTGCAGATTACAGGTTGCTACATGTATTGAAGCTTCATGATGTTCAAGAAGAGTTCCGTTTTATTTCTTTAACAATTATTGTAATTTATTTTTTCAGCTTGGGTAGATTACATGTTGTTTTTAGGGTTTTGTCACGAAATTGCCAAAGGGGGAGATTGTAAGATATATATATTGGGAAGATTGTAAAAAATATATATATTCTGTAATTGGCAACTTTCGGTGTCAAAACAAGTTCTTGTCGAGTTGTAATTCAAGTTACCATATCCGGATCGACAGCAACTGCGGAATTGGAAGGTTGTTCAAAGTTACCATGACTGAGATCATTCGAGATAGGTAAAAACAATACTTTAGGAAGGAATCTAAAACGGTTAGGCCACATTCCATATATGGTAAGTTTCAGAATATACCAAAAACAGTGCCTAGAACCTTAGGAATCAAAGTCTGGCAGATTTGAACCTGTTCATGATTCTTGGAACAGGTTCAAGCCATTTGAATTTAGCCTAGAAAACATTCTGTCATTTTTGAACCTGTTCCCAATTCTTTGAATAGGTTCAAGTCTTCAACATTGGCCTTGAAATACATTCTGCCATCCTTGAACCTGTTCCAAATTCTTTGAATAGGTTCAAGAATCCTAATAAACTATGGAAAGTTTAGTTTCCTGTTCTTAATTTCTTTCTTAGTTGGTTTAGAAGTGTTTCAAGTCCTATGCACGAATTTTATCATATTTTCAAATGGACTAGAACTTTCTAAACTCTATATAAACTGTATCATACACATATGTTTAGGTGTGGCTTTTGTATAAAAAAATACAGATCTTTTTTAGAGCCTTTTTGAGAGATATTTTTTATTCCTTCAAAAAATCAATCTGATTTTTCTGATTTTATTTTTGAGAGCACACACATAAACACAAGAGTGATTTAGGAGTGTTGTTCTCTATCTCATCGGAATTAAAGCATAATTGAAGATTCAGAAATTCCAGAAAAGTAGAATTCATTCATTCTTCGTCAAATTCAGATCTAGAAGAAAAAGTGTGAAGCGATCACACTTTGAAGGGGTCAGAGCATTCATGGAGTGTTGTCCGATCTACCGGCAACTCTTCTACAGAGATCGAGAGTAAGCCTGAGGTCGAGAGCTATTGGATAGGGGAGTCGCAAAGCCAGGGATTGTCAGGAATTTATTTTTGGTAGAACGATAGGGTGTGAGACTGAGTCAAAGTTCGGTATACTTTGCTTCAAACATAGTGGATCGTTTATCTCAGGACTGTGAGGTCCAACAAGGTTTTTCCTGTTACAATTGGTCTATTCTACCAATTGGGGTTTCCTCTATAAAATCCTGGTGTCATCTCTTGAACTCTATTTACTTTACTTGCACTTTATTTTTGCTTTATGGTTTGATTTTAGTTTTATTTCAATAAAATTAAAATAAGTAAAAATTGAATAAAAGAGCAAGTTGAATCTGTTTACCATCTCTCTAGATTATATATCCATACATTATATTGCACAACCATTCCGCTGCGCGCACTCAACAACTTCTAGCCTCACCCGACCATTATTGCAGGTTTTTATAATCATTAGAGAACAATTGAGAATTGCTGAAAAATTATAACATTGGAGACCATTTAGTTTTATGTATAAAGTGTTTGAGAAATTATTTGTATGAATTTATATTTGAGGATGTTAGTCACAAATTGACTCTAGAGGGGGGGTGAATAGAGTCAAGGGCCAATTTTTGTAATTTAAAATTGTTAAATCTAATAAACTGTTAAGCACAAATCAATTGAAATAATCAAGCAGTATATTGCATAAGTAAGAGAGATAGAGATAAGAGATTGCAAACAGTGACCCAGTAATTTAGCGAGGTTCAGAAACTCCTACTCCTCGGCTCAAGGTCCTCCCTTGAGACTTCCCAAAATTTACTAAAGCTTCTCCTTAATGGTGGAGAGCAAACCTTCAATTTGAAGCAAGACTTGCTTCTCTTCCTCGCTAGGAGAACACCCTTCTCCTAGACTTCGTTTTGGGTCACACCAACCCTTACAAGATCGTAGCAAAGTTTGTAATTTGAAATACAAGATTGAACCTCTCTCTCAATATAGATGTATAAGTGTAAGCTCACAGCTAGAGTAGATAAGAATATTAATGAAGCTCAAGATCTAGAATGAGAGAATGCAGTACGCAATAAAAGTTCAGAGAAGGAATTTGTGTATATAGAATGCTCTTGAATGCTCTGCTTAAAATCCTCTTTCAAGTGATGTATTTTTCTTTTCTAGACAACACCTCTGTATAAATATTTATTCGCACCTCCATATAGCTGTTAGAAGTAGTTGGAAGAATTAAATGCAGAAAAATTGCCGTTGTAGTTCAAAACCCTTATTGGAGCCGGCTCCTTACAAGAAGTGGAGGCGGCTCAATTTCAAATGGAGGCGGCTCAAAAAAAAGATTGAGCAGGCTCATTTTCTAAAGTGGAGACGGCTCAAAAAAAAGATTGAGTAGGCTCATTTCTGAAAGATTGTTCTACGAGCCAAGAAATGCTACTGGAGTGAAAGGAGCAGGCTCATTTTTTTGAGTGGAGGCGGCTCCAAAAATGTGCATGACTAAAAATAAATTTAATTAAGACCTATGCACATTCTATTATATGTAGCTTGCATATATAAGGTTAATGAGAAAATTTTAGGCAGTTTAAAACTGAATTTAGAATGAGTATGCATGATCCTAAAATTAAGCTTCAAAATATATTCAAATAAACTTTGACATTAAATCTTAAGCTCTCACCACCCTATCTACCCTTTTCTTCATTTTTTGACCATGATCGATTAGGCTTGATGAAGACTTGCTTTGTTTCTTTGAAATGCTTTGTGTGATCTTTGAAGTCCAAGTTTTTCTTTGATTTCTTGTACTTTGAGGCTTCCTTAAATCCATTGCTTGAATGTTTGGAATGCTTTGGAATGCTTGGAATGGATCTTCTAGCTCATTATTGAGGATTGAATGTTGATCAACTATATATCACTCAATGAAAACATTAGTACATAAACATCATTAATGGTTTGTAATCATCAAAACATAAGATTGACCTTTAGATAAAATCCTTAGGCCAACAATCTCCCCCTTTTTGATGATGACAAAACATTGATGTGTTTATTGTCAAGGTGGAGTTGCATTTTGAAAGAATGCTCCCCCTATCGATAAACATACATTGAGTTTATATCAACAATAAATATTTTAGACATCAAAGTGAATAAGTCTCCCCCTATCAATGTGCATCTATCAAAGTATTAAAAAGCAATAAAAAAAATATAGCACATCAGCATAAGAACACATCTTTCTCCCCCCTTTGTCATCTCAAAAAGGTGGGAGATGAAAAAGAAAAAAAAAATAACTTGCTGTTTCAGGAAATGTCAGAGAAAAATAAATTAAAGGGGAATTGATGAGCAAATATGTCATATTATAGATAACAGAAGGCAATACAGAAGAAGACTATGAATTCCACAACCATATGATAGACAATAGCATATTTTATAAAACATAGGTAAAAAAAAAAAAAAAAAAAAAAAAAAATTGCTTCTCTAAAGCAAATAAAGCAAATAAGTGCACACAAGTACTGTTCTAAGGAGAAGAAGGTCCACATGTGTTTCGAAATTCTTCAAAATCCTCATTAAGATGAGTGAGTGTCATTTGTATTTCGTCAAGTTGAGTTTGTTGTTTGGCAAGAGTGGCTTGGTTTTGACGAGTGCCTTTGAGAATTTCCAACAAAAGATCACGATTGGTGCACTTTGGAGCGGCAACTTCCTCATCTTCAGAACTGTCATCACTCTCATGTTCTTCTTCATCCCCATCATCAACATCCTCAATCTCTTCTCCTCTAGCTCTAGCCTCTTCGAACCGTCGTTGCCTAGGATAAAACCATTCACCATTTGAGTCCCTTTTTAGCCCCATTTGGTCAAGATTGAAAGCATCGAGTATATCTCTTGGTCCTTGTTTGACTGAATCACCTTTGTCAAGTGGAACATGTTTATCCATGAAAATGTGAGTGAGAACCATGGCATAGTAGAGGGGACTCTTTTCCTTGTTCTTGCAAGCCAACATGTGATAAAAAATGATGTATGCCAAATCAAACACTTCTCCATTCAAGACACACCAAATCAAAAAGATTTCCATGTGAGAGACTTTTGAGCGACTACCGGTTTTAGGAATAATGGAGTAAGTAATGATTTTGTGGATCAAACGAGCTTCCATGGTTAATTGTTTGGATTTGACTTCTTTGGTATTGGTAGTGCGGGAATCATAGCTCATTTGACGAATTGCTGCTAGTTTGTCAAAACCTTCTCCATTATACCATTTATTGGGCGAGTAGAATCGAATTCCATCCATAAGATGAAGAATTCTGGCAATGCTGCTCACATCAAGATGGAATACTACTCCAGCCACATAGCACTGAAATTTCTCTACATCGGGCATTTTCTCAAGGTCGGTGTAGAATAATTGCACAAGTCTAGGATAGTACTTGTTGTTCATCCCAACAAATGCACCAAGGCCAATAGCATCAAAGAGTTTATAAGTGTTGAGATTGAGGTCGTCACAAATTGTGTTTAACATAACTTTTCCTTTGGCCACCTTCCTAAGAAGAAAATTTTTCTCATAGGACTTCTTGTATGTAGGAGTTCTATACAACATTGTTGCAAAGATTTGAATGGGTCTTGGAGGAGGATTTGATTCACTAGGGCCGGATTCATGATCATGGGTAGGTTGAGTACGCCTATTTTGGCCACGAGGAGGATTCTTTCTATGGGAAGAGGAAGCCATAGAATAAAATTTGAATACTCAAAAGACACTCAAGATAGAGATTCAATGGTTAGAAAATATAGAAGCCCGAGAATTTGTGCTAATACAAACTAATTGATTTTGCACATTTAGCTATAATTTAGAGTGGAAAAAGAAGTCATACTTAAAAGTAAGCACAATAAAACTTACAATTGTAAATATGAATTCACAAAGCACACCCAAGATCTGTGATCAAATTGCTACACGACATTTCTAGGGTTAAAAGGGTTTGACATAGATAAGATAGACAAGGATGTAAATGGATTTTCATGCTTGAGTGATGGTGATAGTGAACATCAAGGAAATATGAACTTTAAGAGAAAGAGAGGAGTGAAATCTTACCAATGGAGGGCGAATTTAATATTTTTGATGAAGATGAGGAAATGGCGAATTTAGGAGAGACATGCATGTAAAAGGAGCAAGAGAAACAAATTAAGAGCAAGAGAATATATAAAATGAAGGGTGAAGATCATGAATTTGACGTACCAGTGAAGAAACCCAACATTTGAAGAAATTCGCCCATAGCAAGGAGAAGCCCTAAGTCAGTTATGCTCTCTGGAAAGTTAGGAATTATGTGCCAAAAGAGAGGATGCCGAGAAATAAAAGGAATGAGAAGGATGGAGCCGGATATGAATTTATTTGGAGCCGGCTCAAGAGACTTAGAGGCGGCTCAAAAGAAAAATTAGAGGCGGCTCAAAAGGGTTTTGAGGCGGCTCAAAAAAATTGATAGAGCCGGCTCTTTTCCCATCAGTGAGCAAAAATGTGAAGCAAGTTCTCTTATAAGCATTAGGACAAATTGATAACAGAGAGTGAAGTATTATAATGCTTGTGAAAAATCAA